TGTTGACTCCCAGCAACTGCCTGGACTAGTTCCTGCAGTTTTCTTGGCAAGATTTTGGAAGTGGTTTGCCATTGCCTCCTTCCTAGGGCTGAGAGAGAGTGATTGGCCCAAGGTCACCCAACTAGCTTTGTGCCTCAGGTGGGATTGGAACTCATGGCCTCCTGGTTCCTAGCCTGGTGCCTTCACCACTACCCCAAATGGCTCTCCATAGATTTAGTACTGCCCATGAAATTAGTAGACTGGCCTTATTTTCTCAAATCCTTGACATGGAACCGCCAAGATTCAGCTGTAAAGTAGTTCCAGATTCTGGGGCCTGATCAGAATGCAAGAAGTAGCTGTGGGCTGTGTTTTCCCAGAGATTCATTTATATTTTCCATACTATGAGTTTCTAGATGCAGCTGAAAAAAAAAGGAGTTGCTATATTACTCCTGGATGGAATGGCTCTTTCATCTTCCCACCTTCTAGATCAGTAGAACAATTGGCTTGTTTGTGAGTCAAGGATCAAATTTGAGACTGCCGCTGCCAAGACGCTTGTGTAAAACAACAGAGTCTTGGGTTTTTTGTGTGGGGGTAATGACATTATTCGAACCCAGGGAAAGGGGTAATTGGGGAAACAGTTTAAGAACCACTGTTCTAGATCCAGGCAGGTGGACAATACTGAGTCCCATTCTCCCTCCCATCCTCTGTGGCCATATAGATCCCCAAGTGCTTCCTGGCATCCATTTGTGGCCGTAAGTCTCAGTGTCCTCTAGGGTGGAGGAACCCAGACAAAAATGCAAGTAGCTAAAATGACATAAGCTTTATAAAAAGTAGTATTAGCTATGTTGACCAGGAGAGACAAAAAAATCTAAAATCTAGAAAGACAAATACATTGACTAGATAAATGAAAGTCATGCAAAATTTCTGAGGTTTTCCAGTTTCAAGAATTCTTTATCAGGCAAGTGAGTTCAGCAGCAAAAAAAATGGAAAAAGAAAGTATATGATTCACAGCCTCCATCAAATGAGTTTTTAAAAGTGTTGAGAAGACAAGCACACTGTATTTTAACAGGTATAGGATAGCTTTAGATTCTGTTATGGTTTCTCCCAAAGAGAAGAAGCAAACATATTTGTAAAATCCTTCATTTAGGAAATACAAATTCTAACTACTAAAGTTGCAATAATGAACAATTTGAAAACATTACCTAAGTACTTGTCACCCATTTATTGACACTTGACTTTCTTTTGCTCAATAATAAAGTAATATGACATTTATTTTACAGATGCCTGAAGAATGCCCATCAAACAGAATGGAACAGAAAAGGCTTTTTAGTCACAAGAAAAGTGGTGTAATGTATAAATATCAAGGTCTTTTTATACAGTGTACTTAATTCATATGAAGATTGTTATCCCCAAACCACGTATTCTTCATACTCCTACTAAAATCTACAAGATAGTTTATTTCACTTCCGAAACCATGACATTACGTGCATACAATGGTAAAATATGTATTGGAATTACACAGACTTCCTTTGGGTCTAGAATAATAGTTCATGCTTTGTTAACTGCAAAGCAAAACAATTGCATTGTATCCTGGGTACCTCCATAATTCAAACTGGCATTCGTATAGGACAAAAGATACTGCAACTGTTGCTTGTCTATTTGAATTCTGCTGCATTCCTAGCGCAAATGGATTTGTAATGTTCCTGGAGAAATGAGGAATAGAATCAGATATGTCACTTGCTAGAGACTAAACAGAAGTTACTAAGATGAATCCCAGCACGGTTCAAGTGAAGAAAAATCCATGAGTGTATTGTCAGTTGTCATGGAAAAATCATTGATGCGATGCTAGACATTTTATTTCTCAACCCAGATAATTGGGAGGAAGAAGAGGAGGAATAGATATAAGCCCAGCTGTTAAGTGGGGAACTGAAGCAGCTGATGATAGTCTGAACTGGCTCCAAACAAGATTCACAATACCTTTGAATGGGATGACATACTTCTTATGCATAATTGGATTTGAGGAATCCAGTATCCCTTATGAAACGTAATCTTGTAAAAAATAAGACGTACCTAAAGTCATTGATATTACTGGCCTTAGGTGTATCTATATCAGTGTAAGATTAAGCAACCTATAGGCCTGCACTCAGTCTTTTCCAAGATGTTTGAAATAACTGGAAGTGAGATTACTTTAAGGGCAAAGTGCACATTGTCTTTTCAAAACCACTTGCAAAAATAAGATGCGCACTAGAGGAAGAATTAGCACATAAATCATGTATTTAATATTCCCATGCCCATCAGCTATTCATGTGATTGGTCATAGAGGTCTTTGCTTGCTTCCAAGTTTGAAACCCAGGTGGAACAACATATTCTTACAGATGAGGACGATAAAATCTTGCGAGATTTGGAAGCCAGAACACTGAAATGTTGTGAGAGTTGGCTAATTAATATTTGTAAAAATTATTACAATTACTACTACTACATTTGGTGTTCATATCATCATGCAAAATCATATGATGGTGCCCAGCAACTGAAAAATTGCCAGCCTCTGCTCTGAGCCAAAATTAATCACCACTATATTAAGGTTTAATGTAACAGCTGACTTTAATCAATCTCTCACTGACCATAAAGTGAAAGAATGATCACAATGATACCTTAGAGAAGGTATTTATATAGTACCTACACTGAAAAGCTATTTATGATTATTAGCATCATATGATCATGTCTTAACATGTAGTAAGAAATATATTCTTTTTTCATAAGATTGCTATGTAGTGTCACAAATGCATTAGTTTGATTCATGGAGATAATTTAGTCATAATGCTGTTCATTTGTTTTTAGTTTAACATAATATGCAAATCTATCTGCTATGACTGTGTACTGTGTAAATCAGGTCACAATGGCTTGTTCAAAGTGTGGCTTAATATTTCTGGCTTAGATGCACTTAATCATCATCAGGTTTTTCAAATATATACTACAGAATTAACAGGTATCTTTAACATGCTAGTGTCCATACTACAATTCAAAATATACTGGATATGTTAAATGAAAAGGACAAACCATGCTGTCCTAGTTAGCATTAGATAGTACAATTCTAAAACTATTTCTGAATTTTCAGAACTGGATTTCAGATGCTGGGTTTTTTTCAGGTTTTAAAAATTAAGTAGTATTTTCTTTTAACCAAAGTTACTGGCAATCGAAACAGATGAAAAATTCTTTTCTCCAGCTCTATATTCAAGCAAACGGTTTGTCAATGACTCATCCTAAATTTTGCTGAACCAGGATGCTAGAGGTCAGAATGTCTATACTAAGTACAGTACTGTTATGGCATCACAAATCAATCCTTGGGTAATATGACATGACATGGCAGGCAACAGATTAGTACAAATGTTTAAAATGGGATGTTGAATTTTGTTCTGCCACATCCCACATAAGCTGTTGAAAGACTAGTGTTTCTGATCTGTTTTACATTACTACTCATTTATCTTAATTAAAAGTCTGAAATGTATTTTTGTGAATTAAATATATACTAACAAAACTTTTTATAGCAGGACTACTTGCACCTTTATTTCGCCAACCAGAAAATTTTCACTGCGGTACCAAAACTGATGTCTTGCGTCTCATTTCATCACTTGAGTTAAAACCAGCTTGTTTGTTTTCATCATTTTCAGGAGGAAGAGTTTTACAATTGTATTTATGCTTTTGTGAAACTAAGAAAAGTCATACTGTAGCCTCTTTTTTGAAGAAGTATATATGGGCAGGAATCGTTTACTCAGTTCACAGTCTACAGACATATCTTTTTACAATGACACAAGGGAAAGAACTTCCTGCTCTGTTGAATAAATATTAAGGCTGCAATTTGTTCGTGCTTATGGGGGAATAAAAAAGGATTTCCTTAGAGCTGAACTCAACCACTAATAACTTCACAGAAATATTTATGCAGTTTTCTTGGCACAAATACAAAGCTGTTTGCTATTACTTTCTTTCAATTTTTTAAAAACTTCTCTGTCCATCCTATAACTCCTATTTCTTTGCGATCTTCCATTCAAATACTAACCAGATCTAATCCTACTTAGCTTGCCAAAATCAAGCAGGTGCTGCCATCTAATATTTTCTTTCACACTCAGCAGGATATCTAAAGTTGCAAATAACTTTAGGCACAATATAAACAATATAATTGAGATAATATGTATTTAATGTATTTGTACACCTATTTAAAGAATAGAATATTGATAGACATGATTTTGGTAACAAAGCTAATTTTTAAAATTAGAGGGTTGGAGAGCAATTTCATAGTAAGATACCAGATCTGAATCTTGCTAGTTTTAAAAACTGGTTTACTTCAAATATTTTTCCCATGTGAAACATTAAATCCTAAATTAAAACAACTGTACATTTAAAAATATTTAACAACAAATGTAAATTTCAGAAATGAGCCATAAAATCTAAATTAACAGCAAAAAAAATTGTAAATTTTAAGCTGAAATGTAATAAATCTGACATGTGTACAAATTCCTCTAACTGCATAAAACTGATTAATCCCCTTAAGGCTGATATCTGCTACGATTGACTGTTCGAACTCGGTCTGAAATGAGTGTTTCCCCCTGCTTTTTGCAACCTCCCATTAATCATATAAGAAGCTTGCTTGATAAAATTGGGAACATAACGATCGGGAATATAACAAGACAGCGGAACGTCTTCTCTTTGGCCAGAGTCCACTGGAGTTGGGCGGCCAATAAATTTAAAGCAATAATAACAATAATAACCTTTCCCAACCTGAGTTAGGACTACGGCTGTCATAATTCCAAGCCGGCTGCAGATGGACTATGGCAGCTGTAGCCTTAACACATCTGGAGAGGATCAGGTCGAAAAAGCCCGTCCTGAGCGATTATCTATACTTCTGAGCCGAATTATTGCCCTTCAACCCCACGCAAAGGCAGCAGGTGAACCCAACGCGCTGAGGAAGTTTGTCCTTCGTCGGTGCTCGTCTGGAAGCTGACGTCGAGCGCAGAACGCCGAGATACAGTTGACGGTTGTCATGGCGGCGGCTGCAACAGCGGATTCGCTGTGGGAGGACCGAGATGTTCGCTTTGATATCTCTTCGCAGTGAGTGCTCTCGCGCGAGAGCATCCCGGTCCCTCTTGCCCTGCCGCCTCACCCTCGTGGGGCGGAAGGGTCTGTCACGAGAGAGGGAGGGAGGGAGTGACGGTTCAAGGGGCCGGCGCTTCCCGGCCTGGAGCCGAGGAGCGGGTTCCTCGAGCCCTTGCGGGGCGCCTGTTGTCCTCCGCTTCCCGCTGCCCCCGTAGGGACGGCCGGCTCTCACAGTGGACCTCGACCCTCACCATCCACGGGATTTCAAATCCTAATCGATCTGGAATTTCACACACTTGATCGGTGCCTGTCAACCCTGTGACAGGCGGCTATTTGTCTTCTGTTCTGTATGGGATCAGATCAGCCGCTATGCTCCTGGGGTGCATCATAAATGACAACCATAAGGGTAGCGACAAACCACAGAAACTGCATTTCGTATGCTGCTTCCGCATATACCGTCTAGTATGCCTTACGACTTTTTTTGTGTGTGCGGCTTGGAGTCAGTGTTGATTCCTGGCAGCTGCCTGGACTGGTGCTTGCAATTTTCTTGGCAAGATTTTGGAAGTGGTTTGCTCTGGCCTCCTTCCTAGGGCTGAGAGACTGACTGGCCCAAGGTCAGCCAGCTGGCTTTGTGCCTTAGGCAGGACTAGAACTCACTGTCTCCCAGTTTCTAGCTCGGTGCCTTAACCACTAGACCATACTGGCTCCCTCACATCTTATTTATGGTACCTTACATCTTACTTATTTTAGAAGAGCTTATCCTACCTTGCAGGGTTGTTACTTTTACCTTGAAGGGCATGGAACCAATACTGAGCATTTTTTATTAAATCAATGAAATTAAAGTATGGAGGTATATTTTAATAAGCAATTCAAAAATTGTCTTCCATTTTGAACTGAAGAAAGGAAGGGAATTAATAGTTTTAGGCCTGGAAAAGAGGATAATGTATTTTATTTGGTAATATAAATCTGATGTGCCTGTTGATATAAAGTTGACTGAATCTTCAGAAGAATTAGCTGTAAATGTAACAGTTCAAGAGAAAGCCTCTTGAATTGAATCATTCAGAGCAGAAGAAACTTAAAAGAGATATTATCACTGGATTCCCATTCAGGGGGACCTGCTTTATTTGAAATGTGATTCTGAATAGGATTGTTTAGGACACAGGAGATGAGACTGGGACCAAGGGCCAGTGGGAAACTTGTTCTTAGTAATTAAGAATTACTGTAGTGCCTCCATTTACTTTCTTATCCCAATTTATTTTTCCTTTTATCTTAAGTGTGAAGACAAGGACTAGCTTATTCATTTTTGTAAGAAGTTATATAAGTTTTTTGGCTAGAGAGGGGGTGGTGATGGTAGCCTGGTAGAGGACAAGCCCTTTCACAGAAATTACAGGCTCGGGGGGGGGGGTTGTTCATGTTAATTGTTAATTCTCAGAATGCTAAATTTGGACGTGACTGGCCTCTGTAAATAAACACAAGCCAACCATTTA